GCGGCAGCCACCATCTGCAGTGATTTTGGAGCCCCCAAAATAAAGTCTCTCACTGTTTCCACTCTTTTCCCATCTATTTGCTATGAAGTGATGGAACTGGATGCTGCGATCTTAGTTTTCTGAATATTGACTTTTAAGCCAACTTTTTCACTCTCCTCTTTTACTTTCATCAAGAGGCTCTTTAGTTCTTCACTTTCTGCCATAAGGGTGGTATCATGTGCATATCTGAGGTTATTGATATTTCTCCCTGCAATCTTGATTCCAGCTTGTGCTTCCTCCAGTCCAGTGTTTCTCATGTTGTACTCTGCGTATAAGTTAAATAAGTAGAGTGACAATATACAGTCTTGACGTACTCCTTTCCTATTTGGAACCAGTCTATTGTTCCATGTCCAGTTCTGACTGTTGCTTCCTGACCTGCATATAGGTTTCCAAAGAAGCAGGTCAGGTGGTCTGGTATTCCCATCTCTTTCAGAATTTTCCACAATTTATTGTGATCCACACAGTAAAAGGCTTTGGCATAGTCAATAAAACAGAAATAGATATGTTTCTGGAACTCTCTTGCTTTTTCAATGATCCAGCGGATCTTGGCCATTTGATCACTGGTTCCTATGCCTTTTCTAAAACCAGCTTGAACATCTGGAAGTTCACAGTTCACCTATTGTTGAAGTCTGGTTTCGAGAATTTTGAGCATTACTTTACTAGCATGGGAGATGAATGCAATTGTGCAGTAGTTTGAGCATTTTTTGGCCTTGCCTTTCTTTGGGATTGGAATGAAAACTGACCTTTTCCAGTCATGTGGCCCCTGCTAAGTTTTCCAAATTTGCTGACATATTGAGTGCAGCACTTTCACAGCATCATCTATTAGGATTTGAAATAGCTCAATGGAATTCCATCACCTCCACTAGCTTTGTTCATAGTGATGCTTCCCAATGCCCACTTGACTTCACATTCCAGGATGTCTGGCTCTAGGAGAGTGATCACACCACTTTGATTATCTGGGTCGTGAAGATCTTTTTAGTACAGTCCTTCTGTGTATTCTTGCCACTTCTTAATATCTTCTGCTTCTGTTAGGTCCATACCATATCTGTCCTTTATCGAACCCATCTTTGCATGAAATGTTCCCTTGATATCTCTAATTTTCTTGAAGAGATCTCTAGTCTTTCCCATTCTGTTGTTTTCCTCTATTTCTTTGCATTGATCACTGAGGAAGGCTTTCTTATCTCTCCTTGCTATTCTTTGGAACTCTGCATTCAAATGGGAGCATTTTTCCTTTCCTCCTTTGCTTTTTGCTTCTCTTCTTTTCTCAGATGTCTGTGAGGCCTCCTCAGACAACCATTTTGCCTTTTTTAATTTCTTTTCCATGAGGATGGTCTTGATCCCTGTCTCCTGTACAATGTCACCAACCTCCGCCCATAGTTCATCAGGCACTCTGTCTATCAGATCTAGGCCCTTAAATCTATTTCTCACTTCCACTGTATAGTCATAAGGGATTTGATTTAGGTCATACCTGAATGGTCTAGTGGTTTTCCTTACTTTCTTCAATTTAATTCTGAATTTGGCAAAAAGGAGTTCATGATCTGAGCCACAGTCAGCTCCTGGTCTTGTTTTTGCTGACTGTATAGAGCTTCTCCATCTTTGGTTGCAAAGAATATAATCAATCTGATTTCGGTGCTGACCATCTGGTGATGTCCATGTGTCGAGTCTTCTCTTGTGTTGTTGGAAGAGGGTGTTTTCCAAGACCAATGTGTTCTCTTGGCAAAACTCTATTAGCCTTTGCCCTGCTTCATTCCATACTCCAAGGCCAAATTTGCCTGTTACTCCAGGTGTTTCTTGACTTCCTACTTTTGCATTCCAGTCCCCTATAATGAAAACGACATCTTTTTTGGGTGTTAGTTCTAAAAGGTCTTGTAGGTCTTCATAGAACCATTCAACTTCAGCTTCTTCAGCATTACTGGTTGGGGCATAGGCTTGGATTACCGTGATATTGAATGGTTTGCCTTGGAAACGAACAGAGATCATTCTGTCGTTTTTGAGATTGCATCCAAGTACTGCATTTCAGACTCTTTTGTTGACCTGGATGGCTACTCCATTTCTTCTAAGGGATTCCTGCCCACTGTAGTACATATAATGGTCATCTGAGTTAAATTCACCCATTCCAGTCCATCTTAGTTCGCTGATTCCTAAAATGTTGACTTTCACTCTTGCCATCTCCTGTTTGACCACTTCCAATTTGCCTTGATTCATGAACCTAACATTCCAGGTTCCTATGCAATATTGCGCTTTACAGCATCAGACCTTACTTCTATCACCAGTCACATCCACAACTGGGTATTGTTTTTCCTTTGGTTCCATCCCTTCATTCTTTCTGGAGTTATTTCTGCACTGATCTCCAGTATTACTTTGCTAGCATGTGAAATAAGTGCAGCTGTCCTATAGTTTGAACATTGTTTGGCATTTCCTTTCTTTGGGATTGGAGTGAAAACTGACCTTCTCCCATACTATTCAATATCTTTTTCAGTCATCTTTCCTAATACAAGGGATATTTATTCAAAGAATCTTTTTAATATTATTCTGAAAAAAACAAAATCAAAAGCAGATTTTTCAAATCCTTTTAAAGCCAAATGGAAGTGAGGTCTTACCAGTTATAAGACTTACATTATGTAGATTTAGTAACTAGGTAATACTGACAACTGCTTTTAGCTATTAAATGATTATTACTGCTGAAATTGAGTATATAGATATTATTATTGCTGAAGCTCTTCCTGCAAGACCTGAAAATTTCTTAGCCTCTCTGTGTCTTACATAACTCAGTCTGAAAATGAGGAAGACTGTCGTTCAGTTTAGCAGGTTCTTGCGTTTTTTATGGTACAGTTACATGTAAAACACTCATAACAGTGTCTGAAACTGTAAAGTGCTCAAAAATGTTAGCTATTATTTTATATGTATGTGTATATGTATACACACACACACAAACACACACACACACACACACACACACACACACACACGGTAGTTACTTTGTATTTTCTCCAGTAGGTCTATAATTTTACTTATGGTGTATTTTATGTAGGGTGCTTCTTTCAAATGATTATCCTGGGTTTATTTTGGCCCAAAAAAGCTCAAAAATAATGTTTTATTATAGTGTACTTCAAAATTAAGAAATGAAGTTCACAAACGAATTTTCTAATCCTTGCATTGTCATTTTTAGCTACTATATCGTCTTTTACTAGTTCTTGTTGGATCCGTGGAGAAATGTGGCTTCTTTGTTGTTTAGTCACTAAGTCTTGTCCAATTCTTTGTGACCCCCATGAACTGTAGCCCACCAGGCTTCCCTTTTCATGGAGTTTCTCAGGCAAGAGTACTGGAGAGGACTGCCATTTCCTTCTCCAGGGAATCTTCCCAACTCAGGGATTGGACCCGCATCTCCTGTATTGGCAGGCGGATTCCTTATCACTGTGCCACAAGAGAAGCATCAGAGAAGCGTGGCCTACTTATAGTTAATTATTTACTGATTTCCATTAGTCTGATTTATTAACTGTTCATTTTAAGGAGAAATCACTTTCAATATTATTGACGACTTTTAAAAATTTCTTCTGTAGTTTAATTCTGGTAATTTTTACTTGTTCCATTTTTGCTATGTTTACCCTCATCTCAAAGCCTAAATTGAATATTTTCAGTCTCAAGTGAGAATTGTATTTACCATTTTTGTGTCTAATTATTTGCCTGGTTAAACATTTTATCATGTGTGTTTTGTAAAGAGTATTAGATGTTGTTTCTGACTTTATGAAATTCTGTGTGCATTTAGACTTTCAAAGAATATAACGTTTAAGTCTTGTTCTTTATATATCATATGCTAGGCCTACTGATTTATTAATCAAATGATTTCCACAAATTCATAGGATACCAACAATTTTTCATCATGGTGTCATGATTTATATCGCAGTTTAGATTTGTTTTTAAAGAAAAATCACATTTTTCTTGTAATTTTTCTTATTGTCTTGAAAAATTAAGATAAAAGCATTACAATTAAAAATAGGAATCATAGATTATCTTAACTATTTGGTCACTTACTCTCAACTTAGATAACCTGCCTAAGAGCTATTTTAAATCAGAACAACTTTGAATGACATAGATCTGTTTTAAAATACTGGGTATCAGAAATTGGTTCATATTTAAAGGAGGCTTTTATGTAAATAGCATTCTAAATCTGAGAAAATATCTTATTTGCCTTTAGTAACTGAGGAGAAATCTGTGTGAATGGGAATACATATGTTTTGCTTTCCCTGAGAGTGCTGTTCAGAACAAGTATCTGGCTTATCTATATTGAAGGTGTTGAGGTCATAGAGGTCAAATTTTCTCAACAAAACTTCATTCAAACTCCAAAGTTTGAATAATGATAATTTGATGATGACTCTGTGTGCTTTTTTACTACTATGGTTGAATAAAAATGAATACATGAACTCTGTATTCTTTAACATTAGCTATCACAATAATAGTCCTTTGACTACTTTCATAGATTTATTTATTTATTTTTGAATCTGTAGTAAAATCTTAGAATGGGACTAATGATCTTTTGATTTCTTTAATAGTACTTTACTAGAAACACAAATATTCTGTTAGGATGATTTTTCACCAGGCAGACATCAGTTATAATCTGATTGCTCTCACTGCAAGCTAATAATAATAATTTTAATGAGTGTATTTTCAAAGTTTAATTTTGGAAAAGGACATTTTATCATTTTCTGATTCACTTCATATTTGGAATATCTTTCAAATTAGATTTCACGTCATCTGCTATACTAAATTTGGGGATGAAAAGAGTATGTCTTGACTGATGAAAGATATGGGAATTCAGATTTTTTGGCTCCTAAGCCCTCATTTTAGCCAACTTTCTTATTTCCCCTGGTAACTACTTCAAATGAATTCCACCAGCTCTTCTCCGTGTTGATAGGTTATCTATCTCAGAGCCATAATCTTAATGCTGTTAACTTTCCTTGTAGCATCAGAGGCTCCTTGAAATGCTTGACACAGAGAAGGAACTGTTAAAAGAAAAAATAAAGGAAGCTTTGGCTCAGCAATCTCAAGAACAGAAGGTAATATTTTAATTTTGCTTAGAGTGTGGAAAGAATGTTCTGTTGCAAATAATACTATAATGTCTAACTGTCTTATCATTTACAGGAAATACTGGAAAAATGTTTGGAGGAAGAAAGGCAAAAAAATAAAGAAGCATTAATATCTGCAGCAAAGGTATTTCTATCTGAAAAGTTTATTGTGAAGTTTAATTCCAATACTTTTTATTAGTTCAATTGTTTTTATGTTTACCCCCACCTCAAAGCCTAAATTGAATATTGTTGGTCTCATGTAAGAATTGTTTTTGTTATATTTATGCCTAATTATTTACCTGGTATAGACCCATCAGTAATAAATTTCTTTGTAAGTAAGTGGAATTAATAAACTAAGTTCATTAATGGCATAGTCAGTCTTCTTTTAAAATATTTCATTCCAGAAAATTCAAGAATTTTTTTCCTCTTCTGCTGTTTTTATTCTTATTAAACATACATTACACAAGATAATGATATTGAAATGCTTTACATTTAGATTATCAATCATATGTTTAAAACAATATATCTACATAGGAGCACCAGTATCCACTTGGTATTTGATAGGTATCACACAAGTATTGAGTATACTGTTTATTTGTATGTACATATGTGTTTATAAAGGTGTATGATTTTTAAAGCCAACTTTGAAATAAATCATCTGGGTAGTATATGCATAGATTTTAAATATATGTATGCTAATGTATACATATGTTGACCTGAAATACATCATCAGATAATTGTCCGACTGAAGTACATTTTTTCAGTATTATGAGAGAATTTCAATTTGGGGTCTGCTAGCATGGCAGGCCACATACAGATTCCCATGTGGCAATAAGAACACTTTAATAGAGAGGAAAATAAGTTGTAAGGGTTGCAGGAAATACAGGTTCATGGCTTGTCATTGGCTGAGTCCCTGGCAGGAAAGAAGAGGGGCCTTTCTTCTTCCTCTTGGGCTCTACTATAGTTGCAGGGTGTGACAGCTCCCCCTTAAAGGGGTCTCCTGACACTATTTAATTGATGTTTCTGTTTCTGAATTGTTTTACATTTTCCCCTTTGATTAAGATCTTTCTCTGAAAACATCATGGATTAAGAATCAGGGTTTCTGGTTTCAGCAGTTTTTGTCCATCATTGTCCGAAGGAAAGTGGTGCAGGTCGGAGAACTATTGCAGTTGCATTCAAGTAAGAAGGAAGGGTAGGAGGGAGACATCTTAGGCAGTTTTTATCTAAAGTCCACATGTTATCAAGATTTGTAGACATCAGAGATCATCTGAAGTGTTGTATCACCATCATCAAAGGTTTGGTGACAAACTTCTAACAAGCCTGGTCTAAGTGTCTAGGGAAAGCCATCTCATCAGATGTCGTCAACTTCATTTCCAGGAAGTGTTTACTTTCAGGTCACCAGATGATGTGCATGGCTAGTTGGGGTTCCGTGCTTTCTTAAGCTGTGTACTGTGAATGCAGGAGTCTATTTCTTGGAGTTTGATAGTGCAGGGACTAGTTATCAGTGCATGATAGGGGCCTCTCCAGTGAGGTGAAAGAGCATTCTTCTGGAAGTATATCTTCCAGTAGGCAAATCTCCAGGTGCAAGGTATGATGCTTAAGGTCATCACCTCTCAAGGGTATGTTGTAAAAAGGTTTCCTCTACCAAGGCATAGTTGTTCTTCATGGAGACATGTTCTTCATGGTTGTTCTTAATGGAAACAACTAGGCCTTTGCAATATTGGAGTATCTCTCCTTTTGTTAGTTTTGGGTCCAAAGAGGAAGTAACCAGGTGCATTGGATGTCTTGTGACTGTCTTAGAGGGTGAGAGTTTAGTTGTGACATTTGGAATGATTTAATTGTGACATGCAAACTCTTTGGTCCTGCATGCCATAACTGAAGATCCCGTATGCCACAAGATCAAAGGCCCCATATGCTGTAACTTAGACCAGGTACGGCAAAGTAAATGAATAAATATTTTTTAAGAGGGATGAGCTTTATATGAGTTCCAAAAGGGGTGGACCTGGGATTTAGAAAGAAATTTTGCTAACTGAATCTCAGTGTGCTATGAGTGTATTCAACTAAGCCAGAGGGATTGAGGGTGGTGGTAAGCACAGTGAATGGCCTACTTTCCCTACCTTGCTTAGTTTGAAGAAAGCAGTAAAACCTGAATTTTGCAATAAGGAGCTCATGGTCTAAGCTGCAGTCAGCTCCAGGTGTTGAGTTTGCTGACTATATAGAGCGTCTCCATCTTTGGCTGCAAAGAATATAATCAGTCTGATTTTGGCATTGATCATCTGGTGATGTCCATGTGTAGGGGTTTCCCTGGTGGCTCAAACAGTAAAGAATACATCTGCAATCAGGAGACCTGACTTTGATCCCTGGGTCAGGAAGATTCTCTGGAGAAAGGAATGGCTCCCTACTCCAGTATTCCTGCCTGGAGAACTCCATGGACAGAGGAGCCTGGTGGGTTAGAGTCCAAGGGGTTGCAAAGAGTTGTAGATGACTGAGGGACTGACACTTTGATGTCCATGTGTTGAGTTGTTTCTTGTGTTGTTGCAAAAGGCTGTTTGCTATGACCAGTGTGTTCTCTTGAAAAACTCTGTTAGCCTTTGCCCTGCTTCATTTTGTACTCCAAGGCCACATTTACCTGTTACTCCAAGTATCTCTTGAGTTAATATTCCAGTCCCCTGTGATGAAATGGATTTCTTTTTTTGGTGTTAGTTCTAGAATGTCTTGTAGATCTTCTTAAAACTGGTCAACTTCAGCTTCAGAATTAGTGGTCAGGGCATAGACTTACATTACTATGATATTGTATGGTTCGCCTTGGAAATGAACCAAGATCATTCTGTCATTTTTGAGATTGCACCCAAGTACTGCATTTTGGACTTTTTGTTGACTATGACAGCTACTCCATTTCTTCTAAAGGATTCTTACCCACAGTAGTAGATATAATGGTGCTCTGAATTAAATTCACCATTCTCATCCATTTTAGTTCACTGATTCCTAATATGTTGATGTTCACTCTTGCCATCTCCTGCTTGACCACATCTAATTTACCTTGATTCACAGACCTGACATTCCAGGTTCCTATGTGATATTCTTTTTTTTTTTAACAGCTTCAGATTTGCTTTCACCACCAGGAACATCCACAGCTGAGTATCATTCCTCTTTTGGCCCAACCTCTTCATTCTTTCTGGAACTACTAATAAATGCCCTTCACTCTCCCCCAGTAGCATATTGGACACCTTCCAACCTGGGGGATTTATCTTCTGGTGTCATATCTTTTTGCCTTTTCATACTGTTCATGGGGTCCTCACAGTAAGAATATTGGAGTGGTTTGCCATTCCCTCCTCCAGTGGATGGACCACAGTTTTTCAAAACTCTTCACTATGACCCATCCATCTTTGGTGGTCGTGAACTTCATTGAGTTACGCGCCCCTTCACCACGACAAGGCTGTGGTCAATTTGTTGGATGATATAGAAAGCAGATGAATTCCAGAAAAACATCTACTTCTTTTCACTGACTACACTAAAGACTTTGACTGTGTGGACCACACCAAACTAGAAAATTCTTAAAGAGATGAGAATAGCAGACCACTTTACCTGTCTCCTGAGAAACCTGTATGCAGGTCAAGAAGCAACAGACCTGGACATGGTACAGCTGACTGGTTCATAATTGAAAAAGGAGAACACAAGGCTATATATTGTCATCTTGCTTATTTAACTTATATGCAGAGTACATCATGCAAAATGCCAGGGTAGATGAAGCACAAGCTGGATTCAAGATTGCTGGGAGAAATAGCAACAACCTCCAGTTATGCAGAAGATGCTACTCTAATGGGAGAAAGTGAGGAGAAACAAAAGATCCTCTTGATGAGGGGGAAACAGGAGAGTTAAAAAGCTTGCTTGAAACTCAACATGAAAAATCTAAGATCATGGCATCCAGTCCCATCACTTCATGGCAAAAAGAAGGGGAAAAAGTGGAAACAGTGACAGATTTTCTTTTCTTGGACTCTAAAATCACTGCATACAGTGCTGCAGCCATGAAATTAAGACACTTGCTCCTTGGAAGAAAGCTATGACAAACCTAGATAGCATATTAAAAAGCAAGGACATCATTTTACTTACAAAAGTCCATATAATCAAAGCTATGGTTTTTCTAGTAGTCACATGTGGATATGAGAGGCGGACCATACATAAAGAAGGCTGAGGGTTGAAGAATTGATGCTTTCGATTATGGTGATAGAGAAGACTCTTGAGAGTCCCTTAAACTGCAAGGAGATCAAACCAGTCAATCCTAAAGGAAATGAATTATAAATATTCACTGGATTTTCTTGGTAAATACACACCAAAAAAAAAAAAAATTCACTGGAAAGACTGAGTCTGAAACTGAAGCTCCAATACTTTGGCCACTTGAAGTAAAGAGCCAGCTCATTGGAAAATACCCTGATGCTGGGAAAGATTGAAGGCAAAAGGAGAAGGTGTCAGCAGAGAATGAGATGATAGACTCAGTGGACATGAGTTTGGGCAAATTCCAGCATATAGTGAAGGACAGAAAAGCCTGGCATGCTACAGTCCATGGAGTCGCAAAGGATTGGACATGGCTTAGTGACTAAGTAGCAACAAACAACAAGCACAGTGAAAATGTTTTAAAACCAGCCAAACAGCACAAACTTGTTGAAATGCATAGCCAGTAAAATGGATTTCTAAATCACTATGATGTTTGAAACGAGCTCCTCAGGTAGGGACAAACTTTTCTAAAAGTATCTTAGCCACAGAAGAGAGAATATCCTGTATGTGAGGGGAGACTTCTTTCAGTCCACTATGAAATCTATAGACCGTGAATAAAAGAAGTTCATTAGAGATCCTCACTATTTGAACCACAGCAGGAGCTGCATTTGACTGTGTGGATCACAAAAAACTGTGGAAAATTTCTTCAAGAGATGGGAATGCCAGACCACCTGACCTGCCTCTTGAGAGAAACCTGTATGTAGGTCAGGAAGCAACAGTTAGAACTGGACATGGAACAACAGATTGGTTCCAAATAGGAAAAGGAGTACGTCAAGGCTGTATATTGTCACCCTGCTTATTTAACTTATATGCAGAGTACCTCATGAGAAATGCTGGGCTGAAAGAAGCACAAGCTGGAAGCAAGATTGCAGG